GCCACTAAGAGGAGTAAGGACCCGTAATCGCCTCTGCGTAAGAGCACGGGTCCGGATGTCTGGTGCATCTGGGTCTCCCTCATGTGCAAGCAGCATGGCCACGAGATGGGGTACAGCAAATGGCCGCAGAAAGTGGGAAGCAGCCGCATCATGGAGGTACGAGCGACCTTTATGAATAAGTCAATGCGGCGCTCAGCAACCCCATTCCACTGCGGAGTGGCCGGAAGCGTGAACGACTGGCGAATGCCCTCCCCACGACAAAAGTCCCGTAAGAGGTTGGAGGCGAACTCACCACCTCTGTTAGAGTGCAGACGCAGGACAGGAAGGTCCGTGTGGAACCGCTCGCGGAGCTGGAGACAAACAGCGCGGATCCAAGGGATCAAAACATCAGGAACCTCCCCCTTGCCGCGCAAGGGGAAGACCATGGTGTAACGCGAATAGTCGTCAACAACCAACAGAAAGTATCGCTCGCGGCCCTGTAAACGCACGCGGGCTGGGCCCCACACATCCATGTGAAGGGTCTGCAGGGGAGCAGTCGTCGGGGGAAACGAGGAGGAGTGAGGAGCGGCGCGCTGCTGCCCCTCAACACAGGGAAGGCAGGGAGGGGCAGGCGAGGGTGGGAGGGGAGGCAGAGACCTGGAAAGACCAGAGACAAGGAGAGGGGAGTGCATGCCACGCAGGCGTGGCAGGGAGGGGTGACCAAGGCGGTGGTGCCAAAGGAGCGTCCGGTGCGACAGGGTGCGACACGAGCAGGGGGCCGCAAGCTGACCTGACGCGGACGCAGAAGCAGCTACCTGAGGAGGCTCAATAGTCAGTGTGTACAGACTCGACCCAGGCCGACGGGTGAACGTGGCCAGGTGACGGCCCGTTCGTGTACACGTATAGATCGACACACGCTGACCCCCAAGAGTGGTGGTAGTGACCATCGCATCCTGGGGTACCGGTACTCACCAAGTTTGTAGAGAACGAAGGGAGGTGAAGACCAGAGAGTGTGCCGGACGGAACCGCCGAACACGGGAGAACAGTGGAGGAACGTGCAAGAACTGGGCCCCCTAAGGGGTCAGCCAGTCTGACTGCAATAGGTGCAGGGAGTGGTGTGACTGTGGTACTGTCGCGAAAGAAACAGCAGGAAGCACCTGAGTCAAGCGTGAAGGTGTGCAAGGCCTCAGCAAGCGCAGTACCAGGGAGATCAGACTCACTAGCACCTAGAGCGCCTCTATACCTGGGTCGGGCGGCACACACAGGTAACAGTCACCCTCAGCACTAACTGTCAAAGCATACGTGGCATCAAGGATATCGTCATAGTCAAGAGCAAAGATATCCACACCCTGCCTAAGCAGCTCTAGCTAGCGGAGGAGCTCAGTGGCTCCGGGAAACTCTGCGCGCCAGGTTTCGTCAAGACGGGAGATGCAGCGGGACACCGCATGACTGACCAGCACGGTCACCTGTGCGAATGACGTACAGGCGGCGAACACTACCCCCAGACGCCCCACGCTGAACAAACCACTCACGAAGCTCCTGTGGTGTAGGGGTCTCACGCTGACTCTGCTGCTGCTGCCTCGGACCACCGCCAGAACCACCCCTCTGATTGGCTCCACCCCGACCACCACTACTACCGCCGCCACCACTCCCACTGCCGCCACCACTCCCACTGCCACCACCACCGCCGCCACCAACGCCTCCACTCCCACCACCACTCCCTTTGCCACCACCGCCACCTCCACCGCCCCCACTATCGCCTCCACCGCTGCCATCCCCACCACCCTTGCCTCCCTTCCCCCTGCCGCTGCGGCGCCTCCCACTAGGAGCAGACGCAGTCCCGACCTCCTCAGCACGAATGAAGTCAACAGCAGCAGCAGAAGCGATAGAGGGGACAAGGGAGGAGGGGGAACACCCCTCAAAGAAGGGAGTGCGAGGAGTGCCACGAGAAGCGCCTACAGCGACTATGCTGGTCTCAATTGCTAGGGGGTGTTTCTCGAGCAGGTCGACAATGAGGTCGGTGGGGTCAAGGGCGAAAACGAGGTCCCTGACTACGCTAAGAGAGTCAGGGAGGCGGGTGACGATGAAATAGAGAGTGATGTACATAGAAGGGGGGGGGGGTTCTTGTCGAGAAACTTGGTTGGAAGCGCGGCGCGGTAGCGAGTCTCACTAGTGCGAAGGTGAGTGATGAAGTCGGCGACTGTGGCAAAGGCGGACAGCTCGGGAAAAATAGGGCAGTATAAGACGGCCTAGAGTAGCAGTGGCCGGGGAAGAGTAACGAGCGACTACAGCGTCGTACAGGGCTCTAGCAGTCTTGTGCTGGCCAAAGTGAGCGCGTTCGGCTAACGGCAGGTGGTTGCAAATGGCTAGGCGAGCAGCAGCGTCACGGGTAAGCCACTGTGAGCGAGTAGCACTGTCAGCTGTGTTGGGAGGGCTAGAGGGGCTCAAGACGTGAGGTCAAACAACGAAACGCCGTCCCTAGAATCGCTCAGTAAGTACAGCTGTAATTCATCGAGCCATGCGTCGAACTGGATTGGGCGGCCCTCAGGATCGAACGAGATTACACTGAGAGTAGCCATAGCTTGGTGGCGCGAGACTAGCAGGGCAGAGCGCGTGCAGGGCAGAGCGGCGTGCGGGCAGGGAAGGGCCACGCACGGGCAGCAGGGCGGGGCACGGCCAGCAAGGCGGCGTGCGGGCTGCAGAAGGCGCCGTGCAGGCAGGCAGGGGCGCCAGGGGCGGCGCGCGGCCAGCAGGGCGGCGCAAGGGCTGCAATGGGCGGCGCTCGAGCAGGCAGGGGCGGCGCGCGAGCAGGAAGGGGCGGCGCGCGGCCAGCAGGGCTGCGCGGGGGGCTGCACAGGGCGGCGCGCAGGCTGCAGAGGCGGCGCGCGGGCTGCCTGGGCAGCGCGCTGCCAGCAGGGCGGTGCGCGGGCTGCAGACGGGCGGCGCGCGGACTGCAAGGGCGGCCCGCGGGCTGCAGACGGGCGGCGCGCGGGCTGCAAGGGGCGGCACGCGGGTGGCGTGACGCAGGGCAGGGCGTGCGCGGGGCGGCGTGGCAGAGAACAGGGCAGGGCGTGCGCGGGCGGCGCGACGCAGGGCAGGGCAGGGCGCGCGCGGGCGGCGCGACGCAGGGCAGGGCGTGCGCGGGGCGGCGCAACGCAGAGCAGGGCGTGCACGGGCAGCGCGACGCAAGGCAGGGCAGGGCAGGGCGTGCGCGGGCGGCGCGACGAAGGGCAGGGCGTGGAGTAGCGCGGTAACCGCAGTCGGTCACTAGCTAATGGTGGGCCCGAAAAAAAACGGTCCTAAGGACCTACTGCTCTGAAACCATATCAAGATTACTGAACGAGAATGATTGAATTGAGACTGAAACAGAGTAGAAGTGCTAACCCTAATTGGGTTGTACCCCTTATGGGCTACCCCCCACTACAGCCTACACAACATAAACATAACAATAGTTTGACACCACTGTGTGACCTACCCGAAATACATACTGTACCACTGGTTGCGTTGCAGGTTGGTACGTTTGTGGCTGGTTTCCTCAACAGGTTGGATGTTGGTGGGACCATATGGTTGCGTAGACCACACGGTCGGTTGCCCAGGTGTGAGAATGCTCTGGTACAAACGTCAATTACTGTGCAGTATTTGGTAATCTTGTAACCCTAATGTTCTTCCCAACCCGACCGTTCGAGGCAACCCGACCAGCCCCCATAAAGAGGGGTGCGTAACACGCTCTTATTTTGGCGGCAGTCCCCGGTTGCCTGAAAAACTCGACCCGACCTGACAGGTTGGGTCCACCGGTCGGCGGTTGGGTACGTAGCAGGCAACCTGCAAATGTAGCACCCACCTGTTTTGGGGACCCAACCATACAAATGGTAATTGGGGTAGACCAAACAGTCACGACACCAATGTGGATAAACCAAACCTCTAATTTTTGTTTTCGTGCTCCAATCACGTTTAGATTCGAAAGTGTCACCTGAGCCCAATTTTCACCGTACCACCAGTTGCATAGCAGGTTGGCATGTTCGTGGCTGGTTGCCTCGACCGGTTGGATGTGGGCGGGACCATATGGTCGCATAGACCACCTGGTCGCCTCGACCAAGTGCGAGAGTGGTCTGGTACAAACGTCAACCACTGTAAACTGTTCAGCCTCGGGTAATCTGGTAACCCTACGGTTCTACCAGCCCCCAAATAGAGAGGTACGTAACACGCTCTAAATGACACTCAACACACTAAAACGCTCGTCCAGTGGTTTGCCTCGCCGGCACGCAACGCGCTAAAGCGCCCGTCTTGTGGTTTGCCTCGCAATCACGCAACGCACTACAAGGGTAATTTACCCTGAAAAAAGTCCACATTGAATAGCTTACCTAGATTAGACCATGCATGTTGATCATGCTACAGACATCCTAGCCGTATTGATGCCAATCTGCGTGACCGCTCAATCAGCTTCTGAACCAGTTGAAGCCACCGAGAGTGCCATGTGCAGTGGCACCGGGGAGTTTGATTCTGCCTGCCTGCTGGCTCCTCTCGAGCATCATCGCCAGCTCCGGCACCAACGGCTGCAACGAGGTGTCGACTACCATGTCCGTCCCAGGGTCTGTGCCTGCTGTGGCAGCAGCGCAGCATGGCAGCATGACAGTGTGGCATAAAGGAGAGAGAGCAAGAAAGTAAGAAAACGTAGAAGATGTGCAATCAGAAAGAGTCCAAGAAGGGGGGAAGCGTCGGAGGGAATATGACAGGATCCAGAATGCCTCTGAACTCGAAGGACCGTACGTAAGGGCTAGGAGAGGGCACTTGAATCAGTGTCATGCCTTTGGCCCCTTCCACTGCTATCCACCACTGCTCCCACCCGACGGGCCAGCCTCATCGCTAACATCCTCAATCACATGCTTTCCACCCAATCATAACAGCACCATCCCTTGCGTTCCTTCACACCCAAGCTAGCCACTGCCCACCTCCTTCGCCCCCCTCTCCTCCACCTCCTGCTCTCCTTGCTCCTTTTCCACCCGCACGTCCTCATCCATGCTTCAACTATAACCTGCGCGCGCACCCACACCACACCACACCACACCACACCACACCACACCACACCACACCACCCATCCGCTCTCACCTGTGCCTGGCATCTGCTGCAGCGCACTCGCGAATCGGTTCACCCGCATGGCGCCAGCTGGCAGCGCCATCGTGCTGCCACCTGTCATGAGCAGGTGGCTCGGGTTGTGCCACAGCACCCGAGCCACCAGGTTCGGCCGAACCACAGGCACGACCCGAGCCTGAGGACTGAGGAACACGCCGTCGGAGTGGTTGGTGCGGCGCTGGTAGCGCTGGATGAGGAGAGCGGAGGCGTTCTGAGGGGTTGGGTGGGGTGGGGGGCGGGGATGGGGATGGGGGAGGATTTGGGGAGGATGGGAGAGTGAGAGGGAGACTGCAGGGTGAGGGATGATGGAAGGGGTTTTGGGGTAGATGGGGTGTTGGGGGAGAGATTACAGGGGTGGGGTGAATGGGGAAAGGTGCGAGAAATGGGAGGATTGGAAAGCCGATGTGGAAGAACAAGGATGTGCATCTGGGCATGATGGAGTGGCGGGCCTGGAATGTTGCTAGAAACTCTTAAACACAAAGAAGGAACGGGAGGCAGCACATGAGAGGAAAGGCAGGGAGGAGTTGGCAGAGAAGGAGGGGATGGCACGCCTTGTATGCACACACGGTGGCGTGAGGAGGAGGGAGCGATCACGGAATGCGGGTAGGACAGGGGGAGACATGCGTGAAGGAGATCAGAGAACAGGAGCAGAGGCAGAGAGTTGGGGAGGCACCTGGAGAGGCACCTGGGGAAGCACCTGGGGAAAGCATCTGGGGAGGCACCTGGGGGGGGTTGCCGAGGAAGAGGAAGGTTTGCAGCAGCAGCTGGGATGCAGATGGGCGGTGGGCCTCGTAGGCACGCAGGAAGCGGTCGGCGAAGCCCGGCTTGATGTCGGGCGGCACAGAGAGGTAGTCCACCAGGGTGAGCGGCAGCAGCCAGACTGTGGCGCTGCCGTGGTGCGTGAGGCAGTGGTGCAGCGCCTGGTGGGGATGGTGACAAAGGGATGAGGGGGGAGGGATGTAGAAGGCAGGTTCACAAGCAAGTGGTGCAACGGCGGCAGGCAGGTAGACGGGATTCGTGGCGTGCAGTGGTGCAAGGAGGAGATGCCGAGAGGACAGGGAGGCGTGGTGTGATGCTGTGTGGTAATGAGGCACACTGCACAGCTGTGCTCTAAAAGTGTGACTCATGTACCAGGTGTGAGTGGCGAGGAGGGTTTACAATGGGCAGGAGGACGGGTGGGGAAGGGAGAGAGTGGAGAGGGAAGAGGGGTGGGGAGGGAAGCCAGGTGGGGCAGGGAGAGTGCGGAAAGAGAGCAAGGCGTGGGAGTGGTGGTTGTGGTCACACAGGGAGGCAGGCATGATACGGTGGAGCACAGGAAAACCCCCATAGTGAGGAGGATGAGCGGCACATGCCAGCAGTGCAGGGGTGGGGGAGACCTGGTCGCGGGGGCTGGCCTGGCGGTGGGCGGGCAGGGAAGGAGCGAGAGAGGGGAAGTGGTGGTACGTGATGAAGCCCTCCCCCTCGTACCGCTCCAACGCCGCCTCCTGCCATGCCGGGTGAGTGGGGCGGGTGGCGTGGGGGGCAGGCGGGGTGGGGGAGAAGAGGGGTGGGGCAAAGGAGGGGTGGAGGAGGGTTGGTGGGGCACGGAAGGGTGGGGGGACAAAAGGTGTGCGGGGCCACGTGGAGCATCCTGGGAAATGTGAGAGCATGATGACACAAGAGCACAAGGACGTAAAACGTGCGGTTGAAAAGCACGCAGGGTGGGGTCTGGGTTAGAGGACAGGGGCCGAGAAAGGTGGTAATGACCATTTTCAATACGCCTACTCCTCATCCCTCCCCACCCCACCACTCCCAGTGCTCTCCCCGCCACCCCCCACCCACCACTCCCCACCACTCACACTGCTATCGCCACCCCGCCCCAGTCCATCTCCACAGCTCACCATGCGGTCCCGCGGGTCGTCCGCCATGTCGTACCAAAACACGTGCGCCACGCCGCTGTAGCGCGCGAACTCCAACCACTGCCGGCGCCATGAGAGGGGGGGCAGGGGAGGGTGGGGGGGGGAGGGAAAGGGAGAAAACGAGGTGGCGTGTAAGTGGCGAGTGGTGAGAGGCAGAACAGAGCAATGCACACACGGCAGAACAGAGCAATGCACACACGGCAGAACAGAGCAATGCACACACGGCAGAACAGAGCAATGCACACACGGCAGAAGCAGGGCACGTGGTGAGGGGTGCGGAATTGTGCAAGCGGTGCACGCGCAAGTGCAAGGGGTTGGAATTGGTAGGTCATTCAGAAGTAGGTCAAGCGGCACTAGAGATTCACTAAGGGCGGGTCCAGCGCGTATGTTTTCAGTTGAATTGCAGTTCATCTGTGCGGTAAATCCTATTGCGTCACGGTGCAAAACGGTGAAGATGTAAAACCGCTGTGCACCACCTGATATCGTCTCAAACCACAACGGATGAACTGTGAAGTACCTGTAGACGTACACGCTGGACCCGCCCTAACACGTGGATGCACCTGGAAGGCGTCGGAGAGGGAGAAGTCGAGGCGAGGCCACGTCTGCATGGCGTGGGCGACGTGCACCGCCACGTACCACTGCCGCCCCGCTCCTGATGGCCCCTGTGCTGTTGCCCCGCCCTTCCCACTCACCTCCCCCCCCCCCTTGCTGGTGTGCAGGGAGGTTTGGGCGCGAGGGGAAGGTGGCAGGCACGAGGCAGGATAGGGCAGGTGGGAATGATGTGTGAGCGGGGGCACAGCGGATGCGACATGGGCAATGGTTCATGTGAGCACATACGAGCACATAAGAGCACATAAGAGCACATAAGAGCACATAAGAGCACATAAGAGCACCCTTGCAGGAGCGGACGGTAGCGAGGGCAAGGAGCGAGGTGACACGGACTAGAGCAGCAGGTCGGATGAAGGCAGAGCTGAAGAGGACGGGGTGAGGCAAGGGAAGCACGAGTACAGCACTGTAACCCACAAACCCGTATCTTCTAAGTAGTTTAGACTTGTGGGGGGGTGTGCAGCATTCTAGTTTCATCCCATGTGACTATCGCACTGGAATACAACCACAACCGTTGCCGTGCTACTGTCATGTGACTCACAGGCTATCCCCGTGCAGGAGCGGGGCCGCCGTGCCCACATGCACCTCCAGCCCCGCCTGCTCGTCCCACTCGCCCATCCGCTCGCCCGCACTGCTCGCCTCATACACGTCCGTGCCTCGCCGCCCCGCCGCACTCACTCCCGCTGCACGCCCCAGCGCCACGCGAGGCACACCCTTTCCTCTCTCGCCCCTACCCCTCCCCCACCTGCGTCTCCCTGGCGTCAACCCTGCCCCTTGCACCCTTCTCCCCTCCCCTCCCCACGTCCTCACCTCCCCTAGCCCCACTCCCCCCCCGCCCTCTCCTTGCTCCCCACCTCCCCCATCTTCCCCTCCCCACGCCCACAAGGCAGTGAGGGAGGCGAGAGTGGCAGCGAGCAGCAGCAGCGCCACGGCTGCCAGGCCGCCCTGCAGCAGCAGGGAGCGCCGGGGCTGCAGCCGCCACAGCTGCCACTGCACGGCCCACCACCCTGCCTTGCCTGCTCGCCGCCGCCTCCCCTCGGCGCCTCCTACCTCCGGAGAGCACGCCCTGCCCTTCCGCTCCCCTGCTCCGCCTCTCCCCTCTCCCTCGCCCCGGTCGCTGCCTGAATCCTTCTCGTTCCCCCCTCCGGCCTGTCTCCCCCGCCGCAACCCTCTACTGCCAGGTGCCCCTCCCCTGCCTCCCCCCGGCCCTCCTCTCAACGCATGCACGCCTCCCTCCCCTCCTGCCCCTCCCCATCCCCACCCCGCCGCTCCTCCCCATCCCCCTCCCCATGGCCCAACCCCTGCCCCTCCCCATGCCCCTGCAGCGGTGCCTTGAGGGGGCTGAATCGCGTGTGGGGGCGGACCAGGGCTGCCTGTTAGGGGGGTGTGCGACCCAGAGGCAGGGGCAACAGCGGTGGCAGCAGCAGCAGCAGCGGCAGGGAGGGGGTGGTGTGCGGCAGGGTAAGCCCCCTGGGCGGCATGTGAGTGTGCGCCGTGCTGCTGCCAGGGGTCATGTGGGTGCGAGCCGTGCGCTGCAGGTGAGGGGTGTCCCCCCTGTGCCTGCCTGCCATGTGTCTGCCAGGGATCGTTGGGGCGTTGGTGCTCCCAGGGGTGCTGGAAGGCTGGATGGGGCCGTGCGTAGTGGTGAGGTGCGGGAGAGGGGTACTGCCCCCACGCTCCTGGCGAGGCTTCAGATTCCCACTCCTGCCGTGACTCCCCTGCCCTTTCGCCCTCCCTCGCCTCCCCCTCTGATGCACCATCGCTGCCCTCTCTGCTCCCCTCCCCTTTGCTGCCCTCCTCATCCTCCCCATCTCCTGAACCCACACTCCTCTCTTCTCCCGATTCCCCACTTTCTCCATCCCCGCCGTCCCCTTCCTCACTCCCTGCTCCCCCCGCCTCCACACTCCCGTCCCCCCCCTTAACACTCGCTCTCTCCTCAACACCCCACCCTGCCGCGCCACTGCGGTCGCCCCCAGGGCTCCAAGCCTCGTCCTCATCATACCCCGACGCCCTGCCATGCACCACGGGCCGCCCCCGCCGCCGCACCTTGAACCCGGCTGTCGTCAGCCCCGTCGTCATCACGCCCTCCACTGCCACGCCTGCCCCTGCCACCCCTGCCGCCCTCGCCGCCTGTGCCTCCGCCCCTGCTCTCTCCGGCCCTGCCAGCGCCGCTCCGCTGCCCGCACTGCCCTCCCTCTCCTGCCCGCCCACTGCTGCGCCCCCATTTCCCTCTCCTGCATCCCCCACGCTTGACCCCCTTGGCTGCTCCGCCCCTCCACCAGTACCAGCAGCAGAAGCCCCAGCAGTAGAACCGGAAGCACCAGCAGCAGCAGGGCCGTGAGAAGCACCCAGCTCCGCCACCCCGTTAGATCCCACTTCGCCCTCTCCCCTCACAACGCCGCTGTAATGCCCTGCCTCATGCGCCCCTGCCCATTCCCCTTCCCCATATGTACCTTCCCCATATGTACCTTCCCCATATGTATCTTCCCCATATGTACCTTCCCCATATGTACCTTCCCCATATGTACCTTCCCCATATGTACCTTCCCCATATGTACCTTCCCCATATGTACCTTCCCCATATGTACCTTCCCCATATGTACCTTCCCCATATGTACCTTCCCCATATGTACCTTCCCCATATGTACCTTCCCCATATGTACCTTCCCCATATGTACCTTCCCCATATGTACCTTCCCCATATCCCCATGCCCCATTTCCTCCCTCCCCATACCCCTCTGCCCCATATCCTCCTTCCCCATACGCCCCTGCCCCATACCCCCCTGCCCCGTACATCTCACCACCTCCTCCCCCATGTGTGCCGTATCCTCCCCCCGTATACATGCCATACCCCCACTCCCCCTCCCCCCTTCTCATGCCCGATGGGTAGCCCCCATACCCCCCCACGCCCCATTGCTGCCGCGCTTCCCCCCCCTCCCCCGCACCTTCCTCCCACCTTTCTTGCTCGCCTCGCCCCACATCCTCGCCTTTCTCCCCCGTTCCGCCCTTTCTTCCCCCAAACAACCGCCACCAGCCTCCGCCCTTCTTCCCCTTCTCCTCCGCCTCCCCGCCTTCCCCTTCGGCCTGCCCCATCTCCCCATTCCCCCGACGGCGCAGAGGGTCCCCCATGCCTTCCCCACCGTGCTCCGCGATGCCCCCAAGAGCTCCCCCTTCCCTCCTCCCCTCCCATCCACTTCCTTCTGCATATCCCCATTCCGCTCCCATTGCTCCTCTATGCCCGTCCCCTGCCTCCATGCTTCCCCCGTATCCACCCCCGTAGCTTCCCCCATACCCTCCGCCGTACCCCCAGCCATCTTCCCCGCCCCCGTACCTCCCAGCTCCCCGTCCCCCGTATGCCCGTCCGTAAATCTCCTCAGGCGGACACCCGCCGCCTCCGCCATACCCCTCTCCGCCAGTTGCGCCGTAACCCTCGCCGCCGTACATTCTTCCGCCATTCGGAGCGCCATAAGCCCCGCCGCGAGCCTCCTGCTCTCCGCCGGGTTCCGCCTGGCCAAGTCGCGGAGCCTCCCCGCCATCCGTGGCTAAAGCGCCATCGGCTTCCGCGCTCCCCGGACCCTGGCGCAGGGCAGCGGGCGGGGAATTCCCCCCACGTTGGGAACGTGGCGCTCCTCCCGCCGCCTTCCACATGGCGGAAAGACGCAACAACGCCGCCACCCGCGCGCGCCAATCGCTCAGCGTCGTATCAACGCAGTGCCGCTAGCAACACAACGGAGACGAGGTTATGCGAGGTGACGACGCGGAAAATGAAGGCACACGAATTGCTGGAATTGCTGGATGGATGTGTGTGGACGTGGGACGCGCGTGTCGCAGCGAAATCTGCTCGTAACTCTCCTACCTAACCCAAACCTCAACCAAACTCGTCTAAACGGAGTTGTGATAACAAGTTTGACAATATGAACTATGAAGGGCGTGTAACTCTTTTGCTTTTTGACGGTCCTGGTCGTGTCAGCTCGTTATCGAATTGAAGGCCATGCGAGGATCAACGAAAGGGGATACCGTTTTCGTACACGGTTCGGACTATCAAAATGCAAAAAAGGTTACACGCTCTAACAACACCATGTTATCCCGGATAAAGGCAGCGGTCGACCTCGCGCCAGCGCTGGTCGCTCCTCACCGTCAGACCGCTCCCCAGCTTGCTGCACGCGAAAACGATGTCCGGCCTCGTCGATGTCGCCCAAACTGCAGCGAGTTGGTCTTCTGTCGGTATTCCTCCTCCTCGTGCGCCTGAGCATCTTCATCGTCGAACGTCAGCTCAGCGTAGGCGTCGGCGGAGACCGGTGTCTTTGGGACCCGCCCGGTCTGCTCCTCGTCGATGAAGCGTGTGGGCAGCTTGGCGACGTATGACTGCTGGTGCAACCACAGCTTCCTCGCCGGTCGGTCGCGCACGATCTCTAGCCCAAGGTATTTCTCGACGGGGCTGATCTCGCGCAGCTCGAAGGCACCCTCCAGCAGCCCCTTCAGCGCCTTCAGCATCGCAGTGCTGCTGCTGGCAGCGAGCAGATCGTCAACGTAGACGAGCACCCAGCACGTCACTCCGTCGTCGCCGACCTTGAAGAACAGCGCATCATCGACATAACTCTTCTTCCAGTCGGCGCCAGTCAGCACGTCGTCGAGCACCTTGTACCACAACAGCCGCGACTGCTTCAGCCCATACGAACTCTTCAGCAGCTTGCACATCCGGCCGGTACCGTCATCGTGGTAGTCCAGCTGGCACATGTATAGCAACCTATCCAGCTTTCTCTACAGGAAGGCGCTTTTCATGTCGAGCTGCATCAAGTTGAGGTCGAGGACAGCGACAATGCTGAGGAAGATCCTCAGCGTGATGTAGCCGCTGACCAGCGCGTACGTCTCGTCATAGTCGGCGCCATACACCTGCGTGAAGCCCTTCACGACCAAGGGCGCCTTCTCGTGGACAACCGTGTCGTCGATGTGGTACTTTGTTATCAACACCCAGCGGTTCTTCATGATGTTTACACCGCGCAAGCGTTCGACCAGCTCCCTCGTGCCCATGCCGACAAGGCTGCGGATCTCCTATCCATGGCGGCATTCACCGCCTTGCCCTTCCAGCTCGCCAACGCCTCCTTCACCGTCATCGCTGCGATGTCTCAGCGGTGGTCGAGGTTGGCGAGAACATCGAGGTCGAGCTCTAGCAGGTCAACATCGACCTCATCGTCGTCGAGCAGTGTGGTGAAGGCAGCTGGTGGAAGACAGGCGTGAAAGATCAGCCACTCCAGCGGCTTCCGAGTTGGACCCAAGCGTTGCAGTTCCAGCTTCTCGGCCATAACCTCCACCACGTCGCTGTCGTTAGACACCTCCCTTGCCGACGGCGGCCCTGCATCATCGACATCCTCGTCGTCGACGAGTTGCTTTGCCAGCATCAGCCCCTTGACCGACTGCTTCCCTCCCATCGGCCCGCTTGCCGACCTTGCTTTCGTCGACACCTCCCTTGTCGACTGTCCCGTCTGATGCTCCCCCGTCGGCGGCACTTCTGCTGGTACCCCCTTCTCCACCAGCGCCCCTGTCTACTGCTCCCCTGTCGACAACGGCTTTACGTCCTCGTTGACGAGCTTGACGCCTTGTCGGCTGCCGTCGACGTCACTGACCGGCGCCACAGGCGGCGCCTCAAAGCTCCCCTCATCGCCAGCGGGCGACAACAGCGTCGACCCACGCAGATCTGCGACGGGGGTGGGGGTAGCAGAAACAGGAGGAGGAGGAGGGGGTGGGACTTCCTCGAAGTCCTCATCAGCAGGCTCGTCGACCACAGCGAGCAGCGGGAACTTCGCCGTCAAGGTGTGCGTCGGCGAGTGTGCCTGCGTCCGCCCCGACGCCGGCCCATACTTCGCCTTCCACGCCTCTAGCGACAGCGTCTCGTAGAAGATGACCTCGACCGACGTGACCACCTTGTTGTCGGTCAATTCAAGCACCTCCCAGCCCTTGCTTTCGGCAACACCCCCAGGTGAAATCCCCAGCGAGCCTTCGGCGCCAGCTTCGTCTGCATCTCCAACAGCAGGAGTCACTTCTCAAACTCCTGCAGCACGTTGCTCTTCTTAGCGACCAGTTTCACCCACACGAATCGAATGTGGTGGTCCTGCAGCAGTAGGAAAAACAGGCTGTTATCCTTGGCAGCATCCTGGCCCGCACAAGTCAATGTGCACGACAGCCAGAGCATCCTCGGCGTCCGAGCCTTTGTCGGGAAACGTGTGCCGCGCCAGCTTCCCTCCGACGCACGAGACACATGGCAAGTTGGCCTCGGTCGACGGCTTGATGTCGAGGCCGGTGGCAACTTCATTCTTCGCCAAACTCTTGATCGTGTCGATGCCAACGTGCGCAAGCCTCGCTTGCTATCGGTCGGCGACTTCGTCGCTGAGGCGATTTTCCGGAGAGCCACCACCTCGGTCGACGGCGACCGCATCGAGCGTCGGTGCAGAGGACGCGTCCAGTGTAGAATGCTCCACCGAGCACCTTGCCTGCACCCGACACAAACAGCTGCTCGTCGCCGTCGTCTGCAGCTTCACACCGTTCTTTTGCAGCTGGCCGGCTGACAGCAAGTTTGCCTGCACCCTCGGAACGTAGAGCATTTCGGGGATGAGGACCTGCTTCCCGACCTCCTTTTGCAGAGCGACTGTGCCGCGGCCCTCGACGGTCTGCAGAGCCCCGTTGAAGCCGCGCACATGCTTCACATCGCCGCTCGGTGACATGTCGTCAAAGACTTCTTTCGTTCCCATGAGGTGGTGCGAGCAGCCGGTGTCGAGCAGCACCACCATCAGATTCGTTTGCAAGGCGTCCGCGACCGCCTTGAAGTCCTTCCCAGCTTCTTTCGCAAGCGAGACTGTCAGCTCCACCACGCCGACCATCGAGCACGACGCCTCCCCGTTGCCTCGGCCCTTGCCGTTGGAGGTGTCGACGTCCTCGTCGACGGCGTCTTCTTCGACGTCTGCTTCTCCTTGCGCGACATCTCATATCGACACGGACGACGACTGGCCGAACGCCCGTGGCCTCCTTTGTTGTCGTCCTCGTCGTTGTCGTCGCGGTTTGGGCACTTGAAGAAGGGATGGTCGGGGTCGAAGCAGATCCAGCACTCCCGCCGTTGACCACCACCTCCACGACCCTTGTCCTGCGTCGACCTCTTCTCGTCGATGTCCTTCGTCGACCGCCCACCTCCGCAACCACTGTCAAACTTGTATGCTATAGTATATGTAGGCTGTAGTGGGGTAGATAATATGGGGTACATCTCTCTTAGGTTTCCTACTTGTACCCACCTGTTTCCTAGTCAATTCATTCCTCACCATTCTTCTCACATGGTATCAGAGCGGGTTCCCAAGTGGGACCGCTTTTTTTAGGGCCCACCACTTCTAATTTTTTCTGCCCTGCCCGAAGCGCGCATCGCGCTCTGCCCTACTGTTGCTGTCGCGGCCCTTAGCGGCCCGCCCTGCCGTCGCGGCCCTTAGTGGCCCGCCCTGCAGTCGCGTCCCTTAGCGGCCCGCCCTGCCGTCGCGGCCCTTAGCGGCCCGCCCTGTCGCCCTTAGCGGCCCGCCCTGCCGCCCTTAACGGCCCGTCGCCGCCCTGCCGCGAACCGCCCTGCCGCCCTTAAGCGGCCCGCCCTGCCGCCCTTAGCGGCCCGTCGCCGCCCTCAGCGGCCCTTAGCGGCCCGCCCGCCCCGTCGTCGCGGCCCTGCGCGGCCCGCCCGCCCGTCGTCGCGGCCCTCCACGGCCCGCCCGCCTCGTCGTCGTGGCCCCTTTCCCTGTAGCAGTCGCCGAGGCCCCGTGGCCTGCAGCAGCCGTCGCCCCTGCTGCCGCCGTAGCGGCCCTGCTGCCGCCGTCGAGCCTGCAGCCGCCAGTGCGACCGCCGCCGTCGTCGCCGCTGCGGCCCCGCCGTCGCGGCCCTGCCCTGCCGCCCTGACGCGGCCCTGACCTGCCGCCGAGTCGCGGCCCTGCCCTGCCGCCTTGTCGCAGCCCCTACCCTGCCGGTGCGCCACGACCCTGCCCCTCCAGTCGCGGCCTCTACCCTCCCCTCCCGCCACTGGTAAGCGCACCGCCGCACCCGCGCTGCCCTGTCGAGCCGCGCCGCCCTGCCGAGTCGCGCTGCTACTGCTGCTGCTCCTGCTAGGCTACTACTGCTGCTCCTGCTGTCATGGCTAGCCCTAATGTCCTTACCTTCGATGCTGAGGGTCGAGCGGTCGACTTCGAGGTCTGGGTCGATGATCTGCAGCTGTTTCTGCAGTGCGATTCTAGGTCCTGAGTCTGCCCCCTGCTCGTGTCGCCTCCTGACTCACAGACTCTCCTCTGGCACCACCGCCTTGGTCACCCCTCCCTGCCTCGTCTCCGAGGCATGGCCTCCCGTGTCCTTGTCACTGGTCTTCCCCTGTCTCTCCCTACCCTTCCCCCGGGGCCTGCCCCTACCTGCGTTCCTTGCGTCGAGGGGCGGCAGCGCGCCGCTCCTCACTCCTCCGAGTTCCCACCGACGGAGGCTCCCCTGCAGACTCTTCACACGGACGTGTGGGGCCCAGCCCGCGTCCGTGGCCAGGGTCACGAGCGCTACTTTCTGCAGGTCGTTGACGACTACTCGCGTTACACCACAGTCTTCCCCTTGCGCCGCAAGGGTGAGGTCACTGAGGTGCTGATCGACTGGATCCGCGCTGCCCGTCGTCAGCTCAGCGAGAGTTTCGGCTCGGACCTTCCTGTTCTGCGTCTTCACTCCGACAGAGGTGGAGAGTTTTCCTCCGACCTTCTGCGATCCTTCTGTCGTGCGGAGGGCATCCGCCACGTTCACGCTTCCGGCCTCTCCACAGCAAAATGGGATTGCTGAGCGCCGCATTGGCATGGTCTTGGACGTCGCTCGTACGTCCATGATCCATGCGGCTGCTCCCCATTTTCTGTGGCCGTTCACGGTTCAGTACGCGGCACATCAGATCAACCTCTAGCCTCGGGTCTCCATGCCGGAGACCACACCTACTCTGCGGTGGACGGGGAAGGTTGGCGATGCGTCTGCGTTCCGTGTCTGGGGATCTCGAGCTTTCGTCTGCGACTTGTCTGCAGACAAGCTGTCCTCCCGTGCTGTTCCCTGCGTCTTCCTTGGCTTCCCCTCTGACGCGCCTGGTTGGCAGTTTTACCACCCCACCTCGCGCCGTGTTCTCTCCTCTCAGGACGTCACGTTTGACGAGTCGGTTCCTTACTACCGTCTCTTCCCCTATAGCACTGCCCCCCTCCCCCCCCCCGCCGCTCTTCCTCGCGCCAGGTCCTCCTCTGGTAGACCCCCTCCCCCCTCAGGGTCCTGCCCCCTCAGGTGTGTCCCAGGTAGACGCAGTCGAGCCTGTCGAGGTAGCTGTTGACTCTGATGCTGCTAGGGGTGCTGAGCCTGCGGGTGCCGGGTCTGGGGGTGCTGAGCCTGAGCGTGCGGAGCCTGGGGGTGCGGAGCCTGGGGGTGCTGAGTCTGGGGGTGCTGAGCCTGGGGGTGCTGAGCCTGGGGGTGCTGAGCCTGGGGTTGCTGAGTCTGGGGGTGCGGAGCCTGAGGGTGCTGAGCCTGCGAGTGTGGAGTCTGGAGGTGCTGCGCCTGGAGGTCCTTCGGGTGCTTCGTCCCGGCGGGAGCCACTCTCTCCATAACAGCTGCGCGAGTGGTTGCTCGGCACTGGAGCCGTGCTGCTGGAGCTGGTGGTGCTACGGGCGTTGGAGGTCCTGCTGCTGCTGGAGCTGCTGGGGGTTCTGGAGCCCCTGGTCCCGGAGGTGCTCGTACTGGAGGTACTGGAGCTGCTGGGCCTGGTGGTGCTACTGGGGCTGGAGCTGCTGGAGGTGCTGGAGCTGGCGGTGCTACTGGAGCAGGTTCTGCTGGAGGTGCTGGCCCTGGCGCTACTGGAGCTGCTGGGGCTTCTGGAGGCCCTGCTGGAGCTGGAGGTGCTGGAGGTGCTGGAGCTAGCGGTGCTGCTGGAGCCGGCGCTCCTGGGGGTGCTGGTGTTGGTGCTACTGGAGATGCTGTCGCGATACATATTTTATATGTATGTTTATAACTGCCTGTAGCATTAGCTTTAGTGTAGTTATGCCTTCTTACATTGGTGGTGCACCTTCTCTATGTTCTTTTGCTATATGTTCTTGCAAACCTATAGTGAATCATTCCATTCTCGATTCTCCTTGGTACAACCACCTCGACACCCGCTTGGCCTAGGCTACTAAGCCTAGTCCCTTAGTAAACCCCGGTTCCTAGACTAAGTTCGTTTCGTAACATGGTATCAGAGCTAGGTCGTTCCCGACCTATTTTTGAAGGGCCCACCGTTAACCTTCACGATGGCGCGTCCCGTTAACCAGCAAATCGCGGCCCCGTTCGTCCTTTCCCGTCGCTCGCCCGTAGCAAAATTTGTCCCGGTAGGCATGACGGACGCCACGGTCGCGGCGGGAGTGACGGCGATCGTCGACCCGCTGCTTCGCGCCGTCGTTTGCGCCCCCGTCGACCCCGCGCACTACCCGCTACTGCAGCCCGCCACCTACGCGATTTCCGCTGCTGCTGCCCGTCGCCCGTCCCGTCGCGCTGCCGCCCGTCACCAGATCCGTGCCGCCCGTCGCCAGATTCCCGCCACCCGTCCGCACACCGTCGCCCGTCGCCCTGCTTCCCGTCGCCCCAGCCGCTCCTTATCCCGCCGTCGCCCTGCCCGTCGCATTACCCCCGCCCCCTGCCCGTCACCACCCCCCGTCGTGCTTGTTCGCGTGTGCAGCGACGGTCGCTGTGGGGAGGGTGAGGGAAGAAGGGCAGGGAGTGGCGGCCGAACGCTGTGGGGGAGAGGGAAACAGGGGAAGGGCATGGCGGGACAGCTAGCAGCTACAACGCTAGCAACGACCGCCAGCAGAGACCCCGCTAGCAGCGACACCGCCAGCAGAGACCCCGCCAGCAGAGACCTCGCCAGCAGCGCCACCGCCAGCAGAGACCCCCGTCCCGCCCAGCGCGCATTACCTGCCATTGGACCCGCTAGCCGCCAGCACCAGCACTAGCACCGACGCCAGTCACAAGCGCCAGCACCAGCTCCAGGGCCAGCCGCCAGCACCAGCACCAGCTCCAGGGCCAGCCGCCAGCACTAGCACCAGCTCCAGGGCCAGCCGCCAGCACCAGCACCAGCACCGACGCCAGTCACAAGCGCCAGCACCAGCTCCAGGGCCAGCCGCCAGCACCAGCACCAGCTCCAGGGCCAGCCGCCAGCACCAGCACCAGCTCCAGGGCCAGCCGCCAGCACCAGCACCAGCTCCAGGGCCAGCCGCCAGCACCAGCACCAGCTCCAGGGCCAGCCGCCAGCACCAGCACCAGCTCCAGGGCCAGCCACCAGCACCAGCACCAGCTCCAGGGCCAGCCGCCAGCACCAGCACCAGCTCCAGGGCCAGCCGCCAGCACCAGCACCAGCTCCAGGGCCAGCCGCCAGCACCAGCACCAGCTCCAGGGCCAGCCGCCAGCACCAGCACCAGCTCCAGGGCCAGCCGCCAGCACCAGCACCAGCTCCAGGGCCAGCCGCCAGCAGAGAACCCCGCCAGCAGAGAACCCCGCCAGCAAGGAACCCCGCCAGGAGAGAACCCCGCCAGCAGAGAACCCCGCCAGCAGAGAACCCCGCCTGCAAAGAACCCCGCCAGCAGAGAACCCCGCCAGCAGAGAACCTCGCCAGCAGAGAACCCCACCAGCACCAGGAACCGGCACCAGGAACCAGCACGAGCACCAGGAACCAGTACCAGCGCCAGCCGCCAGCACCAAAAACCAGCACCAGCGCCAGCAGCCAGCACCAGAGGGGTTGAGTGGGCGGGTAAGGGGGTGGAAGAAGTAAGTCGGGCATTTGCAGACGTTGCCTGTAGCAGGCACGCCCCCGGAGGTGCTGAGCGGTGCTGTCCAGCTGCTCGTTGCAGCCACAGCGCCTGCTCTCACGCCCACCTGCCGGGTCCTGCACCTGTCGCTGCTGCATCTGCCGTGGCTGAGGTCACTGTGGCCCTATTGTTACGATACGATCTTAACTAGAGTACGGGTTTAACTAAGGGCCTAGGCTTAGTAGCCTAGGCCAAACGGGTGTCGAGGGAGTTGTGCCAAGGGAGAATCGAGAATGTGTGTCTTCACTATAGGTTTGCAAGAACATATAGCAAAGAAACAAAGAGGTGCACCACCACAACCAAGAAACATAACTACACTAAAGCTAAAGCTACAGGCAGTTATAAACATATATAAATATATATCGCGACACACCCCCTTAACTGCCTGCAGCACATAGCTAGAGCAAGTCACACCCCCTGAAGGGGTATAGCAGGTGCGGTGGGAGACGGCAGAGGGGTACGTGAGGAGGAGGAGGCAAGAGGAAGAGAGGAGAGGAGAATAGATAAGAACACAGGAGGAGGTGAGTGGGGGATGAGGAGAGGAGGTGGGGGGGTGGCCGCAGCATCCCCTCTTACTAACCCCCTTTTACGAAAGGGGGGTTGAGTGGGGGATGAGGAGAGGAGGTGGGGGGGTGGCCGCAGCGTCCCCTCTTACTAACCCCCACATCCCCACCCCCAACCAACCACCCGCCCTCAACCTCACCCCCCATTTCAGCCGCCCCCTGGAACCGCACTCCCTCCACCCCTGTATTCCTCCATACCTCTCCCAACCCACGATGGTCCCTGTACAGTCTTTCACAAGTGGGCTGCTGGGCACAGGTGGGGCTGCTGGTCACAGGTGGGGCTGCTGGTCACAGGTGGGGCTGCTGGTCACAGGTGGGGCTGCTGGTCACAGGTGGGGCTGCTGGTCACAGGTGGGGCTGCTGGTCACAGGTGGGGTTGCTGGTGCTGGTGCTGGCGGCTGGCGCTGGTGCTGGTTCCTGGTGCTGGCGGCTGGCGCTGGGGCTGGTTCCTGGTGCTGGCAGCTGGCGCTGGGGCTGGTTCCTGGTGCTGGCGGCTGGCGCTGGGGCTGGTTCCTGGTGCTGGCGGCTGGCGCTGGGGCTGGTTCCTGGTGCTGGCGGCTGGCGCTGGTGCTGGTTCCTGGTGCTGGCGGCTGGCGCTGGGGCTGGTTCCTGGTGCTGGCGGCTAGCGCTGGGGCTGGTTCCTGGTGCTGGCGGCTGGCGCTGGGGCTGGTTCCTGGTGCTGGCGGCTGGCGCTGGGGCTGGTGCCTGGTGCTGGCGGCTGGTGCTGGTGCTGGTTCCTGGTGCTGGCAGCTGGCGCTGGTGCTGGTTCCGCCGCCACTCCCTTCCCCTCCTCTCTCTCCTTTCCACAGCGTCCCGCCGCCACTCCCTTCCCCTCCTCTCTCTCCTTTCCACAGCGTCCCGCCGCCACTCCCTTCCCATCCTCCCTCTCCTCCCCATGGCGACCGCCGCTGCACACGCAAACAGTCGCGACGGGGGGGGGGGGTGACGGGCAGGGGGCGGGGGGAATGCGACGGGCAGAGCGGGCGAATGAGCGGCTGGGGCGATCGCCGGTGCTCTGGCGATCGTCGCTGGCGTTCCCCCGTCACTCCTATCCCCTCTTCCCTCTCGCCCCCACAGAGTTCCGCCGCCACTCCCATCCCTTCTTCCCTCTCCCCCCCACAGCGACCGCCGGTGCGACAGGCGAGGTGCAGGGTGGCGCTGGCTGCAGTCGATGGCGCAAACGCGATCGCGGGCCGCTGGCGACTTCGCTGGCGACTTCGCTGGCGGGTCGCTGGCGGTCGCCATAGCGTCCGCCGCGCCCGTCGCGCTGAGAGCCGCGACGAGGCAGGCGACGACGATGCGACGGGCAGGCGACGGGGGGCAGCGCGAGCAGCAGGGAAAAAAAAAAGATACGCAAGGTGCGGATTTTGCGCCACTAACTGTAGCAGTCGCGAAATGTGATGGGCCCATAAACGAAATAGGTCCTAGGACGGACCGCTCTGTTACCATGTTACGATACGATCTTAACTAGAGTACGGGTTTAACTAAGGGCCTAGGCTTAGTAGCCTAGGCCAAACGGGTGTCGAGGGAGTTGTGCCAAGGGAGAATCGAGAATGTGTGTCTTCACTATAGGTTTGCAAGAACATATAGCAAAGAAACAAAGAGGTGCACCACCACAACAAAGAAACATAACTACACTAAAGCTAAAGCTACAGGCAGTTATAAACATATATAAATATATATCGCGACACCTATCTGCCATCACTGCACCTGCTGCCTGTAGTAGGCACGCCCCCGGAGGTGCTGAGCCGCGCTGTCCAGCTGCTCGTTGCAGCCACGGCGCTTACTCTCACGCCCACCTCTCGGGTCCTGCACCTGCCGTTGTTGCATTTGTCATGGTTGATCTGTGTTGCTGTTTCCTCTGCTTCTCCTACCTCTTGACCAGGTTCCGAGGGTGTGACTTGCTCAAGTTATGTGCTGCAGGCAGTTAAGGGGGTGTGTCGCGATACATATTTTATATGTATGTTTATAACTGCCTGTAGCATTAGCTTTAGTGTAGTTATGCCTTCTTACATTGGTGGTGCACATTCTCTATGTTCTTTTGCTATATGTTCTTGCAAACCTATAGTGAATCATTCCATTCTCGATTCTCCTTGGTACAACCACCTCGACACCCGCTTGGCCTAGGCTACTAAGCCTAGGCCCTTAGTAAACCCTGGTTCCTAGACTAAGTTCGTTTCGTAACAGCTGCTGGAGGTGCTGCTGGTGCTGGTGGTGCTGCTGGAGTTGGAGCTGACACTGGGGGTGCTGGTGCTGTCCCTGCTGGTTCTGGAGGCGCTGCGCGGCCGCGGCCGTTCCGCTCCTTGAGCAGGTTCCGCTCCTTGAGCAGGTTCTTGGTCTCCCGCCTACTTCTGGTCCTGTTCCTTCCTTAGAGTGTCCACAGCCTGTCCAGTCCCAGTCACAGTTACAGCCCGCCTTCCCACTGCCTGCTCCTTCTCCTTACACTGATCCGACAGGAGGTCTTACGGAGCGTCGTGAGCCTGAGTCTCGTCCTGCGTCGCATGTTCGTGCTGCTCGCACTAGTCGTCGTGGTTCGCGTCAGCATCCTCCTCCTGTCCCTGGCACGCACAAGATGGCTCTGCGTCCTTCCACTGCTCCGCAGCGTGTCCCTTTGCCGTCTCCTCCTGCGTCTTCTCTCCCTACCCATGCTGACCCGGAGTCTGACTCCCTTCGTGCTTCCAGTCCTACTGTCACGCGTCTCCTGGCCACTGTTGTCACTGACCCTTCCTTTGAGTCTACTGCTGCGTCTGCTCTTGTTGCTGAGCTTGTCGACTTTGCTGCTCACTGTCGTTTAGACTACGCTGCTAGTCTTGTTGCTGAGTCTGAGTCTGTCTGTCCTCCGTCCGTCGGGGGTGAGTGTGCTCCTAGCACGGACGTCCTTGAGGACAGGCAGGAGGAGTTCCAGTGCTTTGCTGCTGCTTTACCTCATCTGGTGTCCATGCTGCTTGCCCTTGAGGGAGACCTGGATGCACCAGACATCCCGACCCCGCGCTCTTACGCAGAGGCGATAGAGGGTCCCTACTCCTCTCAGTGGCAGACAGCCATGGACGCAGAGATGGCTTCCTGGAAGTCCACAGGCACCTACGTTGACGAGGTTCCCCCACCTGGGGCGAACATTGTCGATGTCATGTGGATTTTCAGGGTGAAGCTGCCGCCGGGTTCTCCGCCTATCTTCAAGGCGCGTTACGTGGCTCGAGGCTTCAGTCAGCGGCAGGGAGTTGACTACTTTCAGACCTTCTCTCCCACCCCAAAGATGACCACTCTTCGGGTATTTATGCACGTCGCTGCTCAGCGTGACTACGAGCTGCACTCTCTTGACTTCAGCACAGCCTTCCTACAGGGCAGCCTGCACGAGGAGATCTGGCTGCGCCGCCCACCTGGCTTCACTGGGTCGTTTCCTCCTGGTACCCAGTGGAGCCTCCGGCGGTCAGTCTACGGTCCCCGCCAGGCGCCCCGTGAGTGGCACGACACACTGAGGACTACGCTTGCGGCTCTTGGGTTTGCTCCTTCCACTGCTGACCCGTCACTGTTTCTCCGCACCGACACTATTCTGCCGCCGTTCTACATCCTCGTGTACGTCGACGACTTGGTCTTTGCTACTGCTGACACTGCTGGACTCGCCCACGTGAAGTCGGAGCTGCAGAAGAGACGCACGTGCACAGACCTGGGTGAGCTGCGCAGCTATCTTGGCTTGCAGATCACTCGGGACAGAGCACGGCGCACCATTACCTTGACTCAGTCACACATGGTGCAGCAGGTCCTTCAGCGCTTCAACTTCACGTACTCCTCGCCTCAGGCCACTCCTCTGTCTACTCGCCACTCGCTCTCAGCTCTGCCTTCGGATGAGTCCGTAGAGCCGAGTGGTTCGTACCCAGAGCTTGTTGGCTGCCTCATGTACCTGATGACCTGCACTCGACCTGACCTGGCATACCCTCTTAGCATCCTGGCACGCTATGTTGCTCCTGGGAGACACCGACCAGAGCACATGGATGCAGCTAAGAGGGTGTTGCGCTACTTGTGCAGTACGTCGGGCATGGGGCTCGTGCTTAGAGGACGGGCTCGAGTTGTCCTCACTGGTCACGCAGACGCTTCTTGGGTTGACAACTTGGCTACGCAGTGGTCGTCACAGGGTTACACCTTCAGCCTTGGTTCCGGCTCTGTTTCGTGGCGGTCTACCCGCTCGTCTTCTGTTCTCAGCTCCAGTTGTGAGGCTGAGAACTACGTCGGGGCCATGGCTGCACAGGAGTTACGCTGGCTCACCTACCTGCTGACCGACTTGGGAGAGGCGCCTCGTTCTCCTCCAGTTCTGTACGTCGACAACAAGGCCATGCTTGCCTTGTGTCAGGAGCACAGACTGGAGCACAAAACGAAGCACATTGCTCTGCGCTACTTCTTTGCTCGAGAGTTGCAGCAGCGGGGTCTGTTTCGTCTTGCTTACGTGGCCACTCGAGCCAACACTGCTGATATCTTTACCAAGGCACTTCAGCCTTGTGATCATCAGCGCTTTTGTACTATGCTAGGTCTTGTGCCTACTTGGCCTCACTTGCTCACTTCTTGACCTTGCTTGTACTGTGATCTATATATACCTGCACCTGCAAGCTTACCCTTGCTAGGTTGAGATCATAGTCTTGCTTGTTCACCTTGATATATAACTCTTCGTGTGAACTGGCCTTGTGGCCTTGTGCTTGTGCTCGGAATGTGTGGTGACGTTGTGATCCACCCTGAGCTTGCTTTGCTCTTGTTGACCGGTCTTGTGACTTCTTGTTCTCCCCCACTTTGCCTATGGGGGTGTGTTAAACTTATATGCTATAGTCTATGTAGGCTGTAGTGGGGTAGATAATATGGGGTACATCTCTCTTAGGTTTCCTACTTGTACCCACCTGTTTCCTAGTCAATTCATTCCTCACTATTCTTCTCACAACCACCTCCGCCCGGCTTCCCGTGCTACCCCTGCCGACGACTCGATTCGTCGGGGCGGCGTAGCTTGCCTGCGGAAGGAGCTTCGTGGGCAGTTCTTCCTCTTGCATCGCCTCATCTCTGATGATGTAGCTGGTGAGGGTGTCCTCGTCGAGTAACTCATGCGTGCCGGGCACCACCATCAGTCGGCGCAAGAGGTTGTAGCTGCTCGGAAGACCCTTGACGGCGTGTGTGATGTAGGTCGACGTCGAGTATTCGACGCCCGCCATACGGATCTCGGCCAGGAGTTATCGATCACGATTGTAGTAGTCCGTCGCCGATTCTTGTTCATCCATCCTGAGGTGTGTTAGCTGCTCCTCCAGCTGGCCAATGTACAGGTCGTTCGTCGCCTCGTACGTCGGCATGATGAACCGCCATGCCTGGTGGCCTGCGTCCAGTCGAAGTCGACACGTCTTCAGCGCTATCTACACCATTGGCGAGCACCACCTCGAGATGACCATGAAGGTCAGCTGGTGAGCGGCACGAAACCCCCCGCGCAGCTTGACCTCGTCCTCGTGCGATATCCGCACGGTGCCATTGGCAATACCCTTCAGCCCGGCGATCTCCAGCTGAGGCTCAATAACCTCCTTCCACGAGAGGTCTCGTCGACCTTGCAGCGGTGTGGTCACGGCGATCTTGTCCGCCGTCACAAGCGTCGTCAACGTGGGCCTCCCACTGCTTCGCTGGGGTGAGCGGCATCGTCCGTCAACGTTGACGTGCAAGCTGCCTACAGCCGTCGACGACTGCTGGCCTCGCGCCTGGTTTCCATAGACGCCACCGTTGACCTTAATCACACCTCTCTTCTTCGTGCCCTCGCTGCCGCCGACTTGAACACCGCCGACCTCCTCGTCGGCGCCCCCTTTGTTACGTGCCGATCGAGGAGATGCTGGTCGGGAAGGGTCGCCCACTGCGCCCGAATGCCCGGCTCGATGACTTCCAGGGGAAGGGTCGGCCCGAACTCGCCAGCCTCGTGGCATTTTCTCACATCAT